ATGAATATTATCATCTTCATTATTTTAATTTTAGAGAAATACATGAAACAGTTTTATTAAAATTTCATTAAATATTATATGAAACAATTTCATAACCATATATGAAACAAATTCATCAAAAAAAGTATTATATGAAACAATTTCATAACCATATATGAAACAAATTCATCAAAAAAAGTATTATATGAAACAATTTCACAAGATTAAACAATTTTATGAAAAAAATTCATAAGATTAAACAATGAAATCGACGTATGAAGGTGTTTTGTACGGTTTGTACAAATGATGGTGGTTTTCATTTGATCGCTCCTCCACATACACACACACACACACACACATATATATATATATATATATATAAACACACGAGTTTTTTCCAAATTAATAATTCCAATCTTCAATAATATTGTTGTTTGTGTAAGAGAAAGGCAGAGGTAGATGGAGATCGTATGTGTAACGGGTGCAGGAGGTTATGTTGCTTCATGGGTAGTGAAGGAAGTGTTGGCTAAAGGTTACTTTGTTCATGGAACTGTAAGAGATCTCGGTACGTGTTTCATTTGTTAATCACCATTTTTTTACAATCATTCGATTCATTTGCTCGAATATCGGCTAGATTCTAAGGGATGGTTTTGGTTGGCAAAGAGGAAATAGATGTATAGAACAAAATAGATAGGATAAAATACACGTTGATGAGTCAACTCTCGACTCATTCAAGGTACTATTTGTTTCCGATGAGCAACATTATTCAAATAATTGATCATAATGACTAATATATAACCATATATCTTGGGTGTGACTAGATGATGAGAAGAAGAATGGTCATTTGAAAAAACTGAAGCATGCAGAGGAGAAACTGCATCTCTTTAAGGCAGACATGCTAGACTATGCGAGTCTTTGCACCGCCATGGATAGATGCACAGGGGTTGTGCATGTTGCCTCACCTGTTCCTGCCGGCAAAGTTGCCGATCCTCAGGCAAAGTTTTCTATTTTACTTCTCCCACTATAGACATGATTATAAATTTATAATGAATATATTGCGTTATTAAGAGTCGTATCTAATTAATCAAACTTAAAAATCCATCATTACATTTTTCATATTTGCCAGTTTTCGCGGATAAATACTAGGCTAATTTTGCTCGACACATGATGTGTCTAAACAGGCAGAGATGTTTGAACCTGTCATAACAGGAACACGAAATGTAATGAATGCATGTTTGAACACGAAAGTGAATAAGGTGGTGATTGTTTCATCTCTACTTGCTATTGTAGCAAACCCGAGTTGGCCTAAGAATCAAGTAATGGATGAAAATTGTTGGACTGATGTTGAATTTTGCATGAAGAATGAGAAGTGGTATTGTGCTGCCAAAACTATATCAGAACGTGAAGCTCTAGAATTCGGAAAGAAGAACAACATCAAGGTTGTGACCGTTTGTCCATCACTAGTGTTTGGGCCAATGCTTCAATCGACAATATGTACCACTAATCTTGTTCTTCTAAACCTCTTCAAAGGTGAGAACTCTTTCAATCTCCTTGAGCTTAATGCTCAAGATGATATTGATATTCCTATTGTGGACGTTCGTGATTGTGCCAATGCATTACTCCTTGCCTACGAGAAGGCTGAAGCAGATGGAAGATATCTATGCTCTTCACATACGTTGAAGAAGAAGGCGTTGACAGAACTTTTGAATAGCTTGTTCCCTCATTACATCTATCCCACTAAGTAGGTTTTTCTATTTACCTAAACCCGATAAAAACCTTTGCTACCAAACTGATTAATCATGCGAGTCTTGTTTGATCTTTATGACAGTTGTTATCGAGCTTCAGATGAAAAGTTGAATTACACATGTGAAAAGCTGGTGAACCTTGGATGGAACCATATGTCGTTGGAGAAGACTTTGGTTGATTCTGTTAGAACTTTCCAAAAAGCTGGTTTATTAAGCTAATTCTAGTTCTTTTTCGTTAAAATAAATGCAAAAGCTTGAAGCATGTTAAATTCAATTTGCAAACACATGATCTTGATTGTGTTTTATGATGTGGACTTACGTGTAGACCAAATCCTAGATTGGACCGATATCTAAAATAAATACGTCCATTTATTTATATGTCATATCGCATTAAAGTCTTTATTTTAAAATTCATCCATCATTATAAAAGGCTAAACATTCACGTGTGTGTGTGTGTGTATATATATATATATATATATATATATATATATACACATTAGAAGCAGTTCCCGATATCTTATAGACCTAAGCGAGATGTAAAAAACGGCCAAGATGTGAACGAAAAAAATCTTCAATGTATTAGTTTTTATTATTAGAAACAATAATTAATTCAAGAAATATAATAAATCATATAAAACCATTTTTTGGTGTATTCATAGACGTAAAATCAATCAATAATTATTTCCAAATTAATATTATCTGTCATATCATTTTTCATATAGCATCATCAATCTGTGATGTACTTTAATGTGTGTGTGTATTGACATCACAATATTGACTACTTGGAGTAACATTTTATGACAATCATATGAATCACTTGAGTTTTCATCTCACCCCATGTTAATGCTTTTCATTGTTCAAGGAGGAATAAATATTCTCTTATGGCCACGAAGGTTCAAATGCGGTGACTTCAAGCTATTTGCAAAGCAGGTGGTTGCCCTGGAATTAGTCAGCTCGCATAACGGGTTGGATATCCAGATTAATAAAAAAATGTTTTTCATTGTCGTTTTAAACTATTAGTGTTAAAACAAATTTTTTGAAACCATCTCTTATAATCAAAAGCTCATGCTGGTGTCCTCGTTTGAAAAAAAAAAAATATGTATATTTGTTTTCTTATAGTTAAACGGTGTCACCGTTTGAAAAATTTTCCGTATAGTTTTTTCTTATAGTTAAACGGTGTCACTATTTGAAAAAAAAAATATGGGTCCGTCATGCGTATATGTACTTGAGTAGGTCAAACAAAGACTATTAGAATGTTCAAAGACTCGATAAGTAACTTTTGCCAAAGTTCAGGGTTGGAAATAAAACAAAACAAAGACTATTGGAATGTTCAAGGACTAAAAATGTAATTATCCCAAAGTTTAGGATTCGATATAAAACAATAAAAGGAAATGGAGATGCGGGGTATCGATCCCCGTACCTCTCGCATGCTAAGCGAGCGCTCTACCATCTGAGCTACATCCCCTTTTGATTACAATCTAATCTTGAAATTATTTATAGATTTTACGATATAAATACATTATACATCGATATGAACCTCATTTGTCAACGTTTTTTAGATATCTTGGAATCAGGTTTCACCCTGATGAAAATGATCAAGTCGAAGAAAGGATTAAGGTTATTCTGTAAAACTCATTGTATATATTTTCATTATGTTTTATGATTTGTTTGATTTATAAATTTAATACTATTTTCTATGAAAATGTGATAACGTTCTTATCACATGTGATAAAACATGAGGGGACCTTGGGGTGTATGGGAGACTTGGCCCTAAGTTGCGTCAAAGGTCGTTCATATCTCTGATTTAGTATCACATGTGATTGACTATAATAAAACGTTGTTATCTAGTTTTCGTGAATTAATTGTTGTTTCGCTTGAACCATTTGATATATATATATATATATATATATATATATATATATATATAT